ATTAATTCTCTTGTACCAGTTCACATCTGCTGTGGAGCCCCTCTAGTGGATTTTTAAAATTTCGTTGATTATACTTTTCAACTCCAAAATTTCATTTGGTTCTTTTTTATATGTATATAAGATTTCTATCTTTTTTTTTATATTCTCTATTTAATGTGACATGATCATCATACCTTCCATTACTTCTTCCCTCATGCCTTCCTTTCATTCTGTGAATTTATTTATAGTGACTGCTTTGAAATCTGTTTCTGATAAATCTGACATCTGGCCACTGTCACAAGCAGTTTCTGTTGCCTGGTATTTTTTCCCCTCATATGGGTTATACTTTCTTGTTTCTTTGCATGCCTCGTGATTTTTTGTTGGAAACTGGATAACTTAAACAAACTTAGGTATATATGGAGGCACCACTGGATCCTGGTCTCTGGCTCCCTGGGGATTGTTGTTGGTATTTGCTTGTTTGTGTGTTAGTGACTGGCTGGATTGTTGGAGTGACATCTCGTCACCCCCACCCACAGCACCAGTGCAGGTGTTGAGCCTCTGATGTTACTCAGGGAGACACAGCCCTGGGTATGCCCACAGTCTGCCTGATGACAGTGGCACTGGCAGGGCTCTCTCCCACTTTCCCTGACCACACTCAGCTGATAGACCCCACTAATTGCTTGCTGTTTACTCTACTAGAGCACAGTTCTGGAATTTACTGTGGAACACAAATTAAATTCCTCCACAAATTACTGTAGTCAAATTGTAGCTCATTGCCAGAATAGTTTCTGAGGTCAGTGTTTGATATTTGTTCTGCCCCCACGAGGGCTTCTCCCAGCTCTCTTCGTCCTTGTTGTCTCCTGTAAACTAGTCAGCCCACAGTCAAGGCTGTATCTTCATGAGATCTACAGATTTCCTCCCAGTTGCCTTTCACTACAACCTCACCGTTCTTGGGAGCACCTTTATGTTTGAACTTCACACACTGTTGCAAATGGAGTTGATTACTTTGAGAAGAAATTAGAAGCTACCTATTTTATGGCCTGTTTCTCAACCCATCCCACCCCCAGCAGAATCTCTGAGCCTAGGGCTCTAGAAATGGCAGTGGGGACAATGGCAGCCTTCTGTCTAACACCCTACTCTAGGAGGTGAGTGTTCAGTGGAGGGGAAGAGGAGTGAGCAGCCTAGGGTCTGCTTGGCTTGCCTCTCCTAGCGTGAAACTACCACTTCACAAGCAAGGAGAAGGGCTCCCTGGGCCTTCAGTATTCTCAGCATTCCCTGCCTAAGGTACAGTCTCCATTCCATGGGTGTAGGTTGAACAGAAGGGAGCCCCCACATCTCAATTGTACTTACCTGGGACTGAGCCTCAGGATGGGCCTTCCAGACCTCAGCCTGGGAAGCAGGATGAGAAATGCTGATGTCCTGCTCCTCCTGGGAAGAAAGCCCTCCACCTGGGTACTGGAGGAGAGGGAACCCTGTGTTCTGTGCTCTAGCAGCCTGGAATGGAGTCTCCACCTCACTGAGCTGGGAGGGAGAAGAAGAGAGGGAACAGTCTTTGTTCAGATACCTCGGACTTGCTGTTCTTAACACATCTTAGTAGATTTTCTTGAATAGATGTTTCTGCATTTGCTGTTTGCAAATGTTAGAACCTTTTCCAGAGGTTTAAATGGTTTTTGTTGTTGTTGTTGTTTAATTTTGACAGTTTCACTAGGGAGCAGGTTAGCAGAATACTGTCATACCACAAGTCAGTTGTCTTTCATACATTGCTGAGCTACTCTGGAAAATAGTTTGACAGTTTCATAAAAACTAAACATACACTTACTGTATGATCCAACAGTTGCACTCTTGGACATTTATCCCAGAAAAATGAAAACCTGTGTCCACAGAAAAATCTGTGCACAGATGTCCATAGCAACTTTTTTTGTAATAGCCAAAAACTGGAAACAATGCAGATGACCATCATTAGGCAAATGATTAAGCAACTTGTGGTACCATTGAATACTACTCAGGAACAAAAAGGAAAGAACTAGTGATCATGTAACAGCTTGAATGGCTCTCAAGGGCATTATGCTTATGCTTAGTGGAAAAAGCCAATCTTAAAAGGATATAGATATTATGTCTATATAACATTCTTGAAATGACACGATTGTACAGATAGAGAATGCTAGGAGTTAATGGTGGGGAGGGGCGGTGTGACCATAGAGGTGTAGGAGCAGAAGGGGGATCTTTGTAGTGATGCAATAGTTCTGAATCTCAGTTGTGATGGTGGTCACATGAATCTACACGTGCGATACAATGACATAGAACTACACTCACACTTTACATCAATGGCGGTTTCCTGGGTTTGATACTGTATTGTAGTTATGTAAGATGTAACCAGTGGGGGAAACCTGGTGAAGGGAAACACTTAACCTCTCTTTAATTTTTTTTAATAATGCCTTTACTGACATATAATTCACGTAGCGTACAATTCACCTATTAAAATGTACAATTCAGTGATTTTTAGTATATTTACAGAGTTGTGCATCCATCACTACAGTTAGTTTTAAAACATTTTCACTGCACCAGTAAGAAACTCCACACCTCTTAGCTATCATCCCCAATCCTGCCATCTTCACTCCTCCCTACCCCCCCAACCCTGGGCAACCTCTGATCTACTTTCTATCTCTAGGTTTCCCAATGCTGGACATTTCATATGAATGGAATTGGATCATATACAGTGTTCTGTGACTGGCTTATTTTACTTCACATAATGTTTTCAAGGGTCATCCATGTTGTAACATGTATCAATACTTCATTCCTTTTTTTTTGCCAAATAATATTCTATTTTATGGATATACCACATTTTACTTATCCATTCATCACTTGATGGGCATTTGGGTTGTTTCCACTTTTTGATTATTATGAATAATGGTGCTGTGAACATTTGTGTACGCATTTTTGTATGGATATCTATTTTCATTTCTCTTGGGTATATACCCAGGAATGGAATTTCTGGGTTGTTTGGTAACTCTGTATTTAACATTTGAGGAACTGCCAGACTGTTTTCTGAAGTGGATACATTGTACTTTCCCACCAGTAATGCATGATTTCTTTACATTCTCACTGACACTTACTGTGTGTCTTTTTGATTATAGCATCCCTAGTGGATGTGAAATGGTACCTCACTGCAGTTTTGATTTGCATTTCCCTAATGCCTCATGATGTGGAACATCTTCACGTGTTTATTGGCCATTTGTATATTTTTTTTGGAGAAATGTCTATTTGAATCCTTGTCCCTTTTTAATTGGTTTGATTTTTATTATTGAGTTGTAAGAATTCTTCATATGTTCTAAATAACTAGTCCCTTATCAGGTATATGTCTATACTGTCTTTGCAACTTCCTGAGAATCTATAATTATTTCATAATTTTATTTATTTATTTATTTTTCCCCCAAAGCCCCAGTAGACAGTTGTATGTCATAGGTGCACATCCTTCCAGCTGCTGTACGTGGGACGTGGCCCCAGCACGGCCGGAGAAGCGGTGCGTCGGTGTGTGCCGGGATCCGAACCCGGGCCGCCAGCAGCAGAGCGCGCACACTCAACCGCTAAGCCACAGGGCCGGCCCTATAATTATTTCAAACTAAAGTTTTTTTAAATGCTTGTAATGAAATACACAAGTACATCTAAAACTGCTGAAATCTGGCTAGGGTTGGTGGACTTTATCAATGTCCTGGTTGTGATGTTGTACTATAGTTTTGCAAGATGTTACCATAGGGGGAAACTGGATAAAGAGTACACAGAATCTTGCTGTATTATTTCTTACAACTGCATGTAACTCTACAATTATCTCGAAAAAGTTTAAAACTTATTTAATCATATTCATGCTAATATTTGCATACCAGATAGGGATTTTTTTTTAATTGATGAACTTTGCTACTTAGAGCAGTTTTAGGTTCACAATAGAGTTGAACAGAAGGCACAGAGATTTCCCATATATCCCCTGTCCCCAGACATGCATAGCCTCCCTCACTCTCAGCATCCCCCATCACAGTGCTACATTTGTTGCATTTGATGAACTTACACTGACACATCATTATCACCCAAAGTTCATTGTTTACATTAGGGTTCAGTCTTGGTGTTGTACATTCTATGGGTTTTGACGAATATATAGATAGGGTTTTTTCAAGATTAATTTTTAAAATAATAAGTTAAAATTTTTTTAATTTTAAAAAATAATTTCAATTATTCATGTAACGTGTAAATACGTTTTAAGTCCTAGTTACAGTAATTAAAACTTCACAAAAAAGCTATACTCACCTTTGACAAGTATCCCTCAATCCTAGTTTGTCTCTCCCCATTCCATATGATACATTTCATATTTATTTCACTACAGTTCTAGTTACTGGACTTTTCTACCCAAATTTAAATGTTATTCAAATTTGATTCCTGTGATTTCTCCAGGATCTAGATAACACCAAAGAGCTTCAAAGACTTCATGCTCAGCTCTCCACATGCTTGCAAAAGCATCACATATGAGCAAGGCTCCAACCCACTAGAGACTATTTCCTCTCTTTTAAGAGATTATAATATTAACTTGCTCTCTTTTGAACTCACTAGATTATCAGAGTATGTCTTTAAAGTATTCTTCTGAGGTGGACAAAAAGCTTTTTTTTTGGTGAGGAAGATTGGCCCTGGGCTAACATCTTTGCCCATCTTCCTCTACTTTATACGTGGGACGCTGCCACAGCGTGGTCTGACAAGTGATATGCAGGTCCATGCCCAAGGATCCGAACCTGTGAACCCCGGGCCACCAAAGCAGAGTGTGTGAACTTAACCACTATGCCATTGGGCTGGCCCCCAAAAAGAGCTTTTATTCATGTTGTGACCTCGATTCCTAATGACTTAAATGCAAAGGATTTATTAAAGATGTTTAAGTAAAGAAATTCTTGATCAAATAGTAGCACTTAGGCGGCTTGAACACAAATGATTTTAGCTTTATAAAAATAGAAAAATATATGTATGTGTTTTTTTTATGGTTCCAGAGGAGAAGAAAGCTATGCTACAGGAAATAGCTAATCAGAAAGGAGTATCCTGTCGTGCCCAAGGCTGGAAAGTCCACCTCTGTGCTGCCCAGTTGCTCCAGCTGGTAGGTGGAGTTCTAGCAGTCATTAAGTCATGCTGAAGAGAGGAACAGATGCTGGAGACGTCTGAGTTCGTAGAGCATTTTCTTTTGAGTAATCCAGAAACATTCCCAACTAACATGGGTCATGGCAGAATTTTTATGTGTGCCATGTAATATTATATCTATTCCATAGATATAATCTAAATATATCTTAATTCTGGTACCCAGAACCAAAATATATTGAACAGCTGTTGTGTAAGACCTACAGTTAAGGTTCAGTATTATGTATTGCTGTGACATCTGAAACAGGGGGAGCCTCAAATGGCCTAACTGTAATCCCCTTCCGCCCTGCTCCTTATCATGGGGACCAAGCACAGTTCCCAAGTCTCCCTGAATAGTGGGCTTCAGTTCTCTGCCAGTTTGTGATGGTATTCAAATAAGCCACTTACATCCTCCCATGGGAACCAGGGGGCACCTCTCCCTCTTGATACTACAAAGCCTGCCTCCTACAGCCCCTGCTTGTTCACTCTGTTCCCGAGTGCAGCCCCCGTGTGGCCCTGCGTGGTGTGCGATGTCCTCTTCCCCTGGGCTGTGAGTATATTGACTAGTAAACTGCTGTTGATCTCATCTGTCCAGTGTTGGCGGGTGTTCTGTGTTCAGCCATTTTCATAACCCTAGGGTGGGAATCCTTCCTTGACCAGTGAGGTGAAAGGGAGGTGATCAAAAACAACAACCTCATCAAGTTTTTCCATCTTTGGAGTAGCAATGATCTGAAGAACATTGTTATGAATATCTAAAACAAATGTAGTGCCTTGGCTAGTTTTTGTACTTAGCAGAAAAGCATATTTCTGTGAAACTTGCAAACTCGTTTCTCGGAGGAATTGTGAATTCAAGGCAGTATTTAAAAGTTATCCTTGAGGATGGACTCTGAATTATGGCAAATTATAATGTAAATTGCTGTTTGATCAATTTCCCTTACTATACCTTAGTACCTTAGTCATTGGGAGGAATGATTTTATCACCCAAACAGCTCTTATACCAGTTTACAAACGTGGTTCAAGGTGGGTTCATTTGCCTGAAGTTGACAATGAAAAGTATCTCTGAAGTCACAATGCCCTCCCTCTTGTGTGTTGCAGACGAATCTAGAACATGATGTTTATGAAAGACTGACCAACCTACAGGAAGGGATCATCCCAAAGAAAAAAGCAGCAACTGATGATGATCTACACCGAATAAATGAGCTAATACAGGTTGGAATGATCAACCACCTTATGGGGTTGACTATAGTCTTACTTCTCCCTTTTCTTCCCTCTTCCACTAATATCTTTAGTAAAAACCTATTATTTACTTCCACTTGCGTTACCAAGAAACACTAAAATATTTTTTCTATATGAAAGCCTCAAAATGGCCTCAATCCAAAGGTGAGAGGTTCTTTAAAAGCTAGTCATCCTCAAGATTACTGATTGATAATGTAATGTCTTTTGTTTCAGGGAAATATGCAAAGGTGTAAACTTGTGATGGATCAAATCAGTGAGGCCAGAGACTCCATGCTTAAGGTTTTAGATCATAAAGATCGTGTCCTGAAGCTTCTAAACAAAAATGGGACTGTCAAGAAGGTGTCAAAATTGAAGCGAAAAGAAAAAGTTTAGACCCAGAAGAATCAGGACTTTGGAAACAGAATTTATGAAGAATGATGGTGGGGGTGGGGGGAGGGTTTTGGTTATTTTGAAAGTGGAACATTGAAATAAAGGAAGCGTTCCTTAATTCACACGTGAAAGCAGAGGGACCCATGGCATCCAGTGGCACAAAAGGATCAGAGCTGATCTGACACAGTGAACTCCATTCTTTCTTTAGGCGTATCCCTCTTAAACTTACTGTGTCATATATGACTCCTGATGCATCAGTGTCGACCAGTTGGAATCAGTGACACAAATGAATGGCTGGCATTTTTCAGCCTTCCGGTTCACAAACTGTATTTATCTGATGGATTCCTGCAGGACCCATACTGAGCCTAGACTGAAAGTTTCCACTCGGACCATCTGTTATCTCTCTACACTGAAAATCAAACCTGTTCCCCTCCCCCCAGTCAGTTCTTATTCTGTCTGACCTTCCAGTTCCCAAGCTGGCCTTTTACAGCAGCGCCATGGCACCGAGCGATCTGCCCCATCTCACGCTCTAAAGGGTTTGAACTATCAATTCTTGTCATTTTTTTAATGAACCATTTCAAAGTGAAATTGTTATATTGTCTGTCCTGCGTGTGTCAGAGTTGAGTTTTTTTGGAGGTTCAGAGCAGGCAACACCCTAAGTTGCTCTGAGATCCTTGTTCTGAAGTACATTCTTGGTTACCTGTACTTCTGTAGCTGGTGTGATGCTGTTAATTGTATGTACCACACATCTCCAAACGTTAATAAAGGACTCAAAGAGGTTTTTGCACATGAGCAGTTTGCATCTTTTTATAAAGTTAATCAGTGCTGTACTGAACATCGCTTGAGTGTTTACCCTACTCTTGAGTGTTTACGCTACTGTAGGTTCTCACGCTTGGTTGAGTCTACTTTGTTCAAGTTTTGTTACTCCACATAAAAAGTTCTGCTTATCCAGGTACTTTGAAGATGTCACAATGGTGAAGTCTGTTGGCTCTTGGTTATCTTAAATATAAAAGTATATTGTATCCCGTTGCAGATATAAATTGGTCAATTTATAGGGCAATTAAGACTGCAATAGTGGGGGTGGAGCTTCCAGGAGGGTAGATTTTCTTCACAAGGTTGCTCTTGCTTCCTGTGATCTAGCTGGGTTGCTAAGGTAGCCCAGCCTTGCTTCCTTTGGGCACAAGCAACCCTCTCTCTCCCTTCTAACTGGATAGTCTCCTTCCAGCTAGACATGCTTCCAGTTGCCAACTCGTCTCTTTGCCCTGATCTGAACAGATTTGAGACAGGGAGTCTGTGCCAGTCCTGACGTGGTCTTTGGGACCAGTGCTCTGGCTCTCCTTGGACTGGCTCACCTGAGACAGCCTTAGTCGAATCAGAAAGGTAAGCTCTCACCTGGTATAGGATTGGAAAAGAAAGAAGCAAAGCAGGCTTTTGGCCTTCCTCCGGTTAGGCCACATAGGACTGCGTAGCCTAGGCTAAAGAAGTCCTCGGAACAATCGAGGCTGCTTCACCAGTGTTTCATTGGGGTATGGAGCCAACTTTAGAAGATTTTCCTGATTGACAGCTAGGCGCCAGTGTAGTGTGGCTGTGCTAGAACAGTGTGTCTTTGCCTCAGGTTCTCATCTGCATCTCATCCCGGTGATCTCATGTGGTGTGCTGGCTAGTAAAGGACAGGGTTCGGGTATTTGGGGTCTTGCGTTACAGATGTGTTCTCTCTAAAAGTAGCGTCACTTCCATTTAAACAGAACTTAGATAACCCTGGTCAAAAGAAGCCTGTTACTGCAAGCTTTGATGTCAGTGCAGTTAGAGCAATAGTGTGTTCAGTTTTCCCTCACCTTATGAGGATGATACAATCAGAACTTGAGAGAGGCAGGGGACATGACGTTTGTCCATGTACACAATGTTATTTAAAAACAGCTTTATTGAGGACTAATAGACATAAAGTAAGCCTTTTAAGGTATACAATTTGATAAGATTTGACACATGCCTACACCCATGAAACCATCACCACAATCAAGATAGTGAACATACCTATCAGACCCAAAAGTTTCCTTGGGCCTCTGTGATTCCTCGACTCTCGTCCCACCTGCCTCCCCATCTCCAGGCAAATGTTCATCTGCTTTCTGTCACTCTAGATTAGCTTGCATTTTCTGGGATTTTATATGAATGAAATTCAGTATGTTCTTTTTTGAGGGAAGGAGTCTGGCTTTTACTCCACATAAGGGAAATTTATGCTGAGACTGAGTCATGTGGCTTGTTTCCATAGCTTATTGCTGAGTCGCGAGCATTCTATAGTGTGGATAACCCACAAGCTGTTTCTCCCTCTGCCCGTGTGAAGACATCGGGTTGTCAGCAGATTTGGGTTATTACAAATACACCTGTCTTGCACATCTCTGTTCCTTGTGTGGACATGTGCTTATGCACAGTTTTTAATTGATTTTATATTAGTTTTGATTTCCAGGGATTCATGACCAGAAGACAGTGCTGAGAAGTCCAGACACAAAGTGACTCTTGGTCCAGAAAACTATTGTTCACATACTTAAAGATTAGAAAGAATTGGAAATATATTTGAGGTAAGACTTGGATTTGGCTTCTGTTCTTTACAGTGGAAATTCAAAGAAATGTAAATCTGGAAAAAGAGTTTTAACCCCTCTACTTGGTCTGGAAAATCTTTCATATTATTTTTTAAAACCTAGATATTTCAAAAGATCATTAAATAGAAAATGCCTTATAGTATTTTCATTTTCAGTGATTTTTATCATAATTATATAGAATCACACAATTTTAGAGTTTAAAAGGTTAGAGGTTATATAGTCCAACCCAACCTGTGATGAAATGCACACCTTTGAAAGGATGTAATTTTTCATACTTTTTTATTGTAAAATATGGCACAGATACTGAAAACTACATGAAACAGATGTATAGCTTCATAAATTCTTAAAAGAACAACTTTGAAATTACCACCCAGAGTAAGAAATAGAGCTTTGCTAGCCACCTTAGAAGCCCCACAACTGCTCCATCCCAATCACAACCCAACCCTTTGCCTCCCCCAGAAATAACCGCCTTGACTTTTTTTTCAAATAACCAATTTTTTTGTGGTGTAATTATATAGACTAAAATACCTAAATCTTACATTTACAGTTTTATGCGTTTTGACAGATATGTACATCCATGGCTAACATCCGAATACAGATGCGTGACACTACCATAACCCCAGAAAGAGTGCCCCTTTGTAGTCAATACACCTCTGCTCCACCCCCCCAAACGTAAACACCAATCTGCTGTCCGTTATCATAAATTAGTTTTGTCTGTTCTTGAACTTCATATAAAAAGGATCATATACTACATACTTATTTGTGTCTGGCTTTTTTGCTCAACATAATTTGAGATTCATCCATTTGTTGTACGTATCATAAGTTGTTTCCTTGTACTGCTGAGTGGTATTCAGCTGTGTGCATATACAACAATTTGTTTATCCATTTCCCTATTGAAGGGCATCTTGCTTCCAGTTTTTGACTATTAGGGCTAAAGCTGCTATAAACATTCGCATCTAAGTTCTTTTGTGGAAATTTTTAAATCAGTTGGGTGAAAACCTAAGAGTGTGATTGTTAGATCTAAGGTAAAACTATGTTTAGTTTTGTAAGAAACTGCCGAACTGTCTTCCGTAGTGGCTGCACCCTTTTGCACCCCCCCCCCAGCAGTTAACGCGAGTCCTGCTGCTCCGCATCCTCGCCAGCGTTCAGTGTGAGCAATGTTTTGGCCTTGAGCCGTTCTAATTGGTGTGTAATGGTATCTCACTGTTTTCATTTGCAGTTCCCTAATGACATAAGATGAGCATTTTTTAATGTGCTCATTTGCCATCTTTGTATTGTTTTGATGAAATATTTGTTCAGACCTTTGCCCATATTTTAATTGGTTGTTTCTTTTCTGATTGAGTTTTAAGAGTTCTTTGTATATTTTGGATACAAGTCCTTTGTCAGATATGCGTTTTGCAAATATTTTCTCACAACTGTGGCTTATCTTTCCATTTATTTAACAGTGCCTTTTGAAAAGCAGAAGTTTTTATTTTTAGGAAAGTACATCAGTTTTTTCTTTCATGAACTGTGCTTTTGGGTTATATATAAAAACTCATTGCCAAACCGAAGGTAACCTAGATTTTCTCCTATATTTTGTTATAGGAGTTTTATAGTTTCATGTTTTACATTTACGTCTATGATGATTCATTTCTAAATAATCTTTGTGAAAGTTATAAGGTCTGTGTAAAGATTTTTTTTTTTTTGCATGCAGATGTCCGGTCATTCCAGCACCATTTGTTGAAAAGACTATCCTTCCTCTGTTAAATTGCCTTTGCTCCTTTGTCGCAGATTGGTTAACTATATTTGTGTGAGTCTATTTCTGGGCTTTCTATTCTGGTCCATTAATCTACTTATTCATTCTTTCACCAATACCACTCTGTTTTGATTACTGTAACTTTATAGTAAGTCTTGAAGTTGAGCAGTATCAGTTCTCCAACTTTGTTCTTCACTATTGTGTTGGCTATTCTGGGTCTTTTGCCTTTTCATATAAATATTAGAATCTGTTAATATCTACAAAATAGCTTGCAGGAATTTTGATTAGGATTACATAGAATGTATAGGTCAAGTTGGGAAAGAATTGAATCTTAATAACGTTGAGTGTTCTAGTCCATGAACATGGACTCTCTCTCCATTTATTTAGATCTTTGATTTATTTCATCAGAGTTTTATAGTTTTCCTCATACATCCTGTACATATTTCTTTAGATTTATGCCTAAGTTTTCATTTTGTGTGTGCAGTTGTAAATGGTACTGTTTTTTATTTCATCTTTTGCTTTCTTTTTTTGTGAGGAAGATTAGCCCTGAGCTAACATCCGTTGCCAATCCTCCTCTCTTTTTGCTGAGGAAGATTGGCCCTGGGCTACATGGGCTAACATCCGTGCCCATCTTCCTCTCCTTTATATGGGACGCTGCCACAGCATGGCTTGACAAGCGGTGCATCGGTCTGCACCTGGGATCCAAACCTTGCAAACCCCGGGCCACTGAAGCAGAGTACACAAACTTAACTGCTGCACCACTGGGCTGGCCCATATGTTTTTTATTTCAAATTCTAATTGTTCACTGGTGGTATGTGGGAAAGCAATTAACATTTATATACTGTTAACCTTGTATGCTGTGATATTGCTATATTCACAGAAGTTTTTTGGTCCATTCTTTGAGACTTTCTACTTAATAATGCCATCTGTGAACAAATACAGTTTTATTTCTTCTTTCCCAATTTGTATAGGTTTTATTTCCTTTTCCTGTCTTATTGCACTAGATGTTGAATAGGAGTGGTGAGAAGGGATATTCTTGCCCTGTTCCCAATCTTAGGGGTAGAGTGTCCAGTTTCTCACCATGAAGTGTGATGTTACCTGTAGGATTTTTTGTAGATGTTTTTTATCAAGTTGAGGAATTTCTAAGGCCAGCCGAGTGGTGTAGTGGTTAAGTTTGCAAACTCCACTTCAGCAGCCCAGGGATTCGTGGGTTCAGATCCTGGGTGAGGACCTAAGCACCACTCATCAAGCGATGATGTGGCGGCATCCCATATACAAAATAGAGGAAAATGGGCACAGATGTTAACTCAGGGCTAACCTTCCTCAGCAAAAAAGGAGAGGAAGATTGGCAACAGATATTAGCTCAGGACCAATCTTCCTCACCACAAAAAAAAAAAAAAAGTTGAGGAAGTTCTCCTCTACTCCTAGTTTGCCGAGAGTTTTCTGTCGTAGAATGGATGGTG